CCGAATCCAAGCACTGCAATATTAAAATCCAATTCAATTTCTTGTTTGCTCGAAATCTACGACATGACTATATACAGAAAAGCTTGACATGGTATGCAAAAAAACCCGAAGACAATACAAATACAAATACATGAACAAAAATGTTTTAACTGTCAGTTATGTCATTTTAAAATTTTCCAAAACTAACATTTTCTTTGATTGACTGATATTAAATTGATTAGGTCAAGTTTAGTGTGAACAATATTACACAAACAAGCACGTGTGTGCGCATGCGCACATATGAGAATCCCTTCGATCGCTTCTCATATGTGCGCATGCGCACATATTAGAATCGCTTCGATCGCTTGTGACGCGGTAACTTTGCTTTGATCGTTTCTGACGTCATAACTTTGCTTTGATCCCAAAACCAATCCACAGCGCAAACAGACACATTACACCATGTCAGCCAACCATCCTTCGGCTCAGATGAGCTTGGAATATCTAAAGGGACCATTTTGGGAGATCACCACATGTGGAGGCTTTCCTTGGAGAAGGAAGCTTTGGTGTTGTAACGAAATGTCGCGATACAAAAAACAACAAAACGGTTGCTATTAAAGTCAACAAGAGCGACCCTGAAATTCTGCTCCAGGCAAAACTGGAAATTTTCATCCTGGAGCAGCTACGACGCTTGGATCAGACAGGTGCAACATTGTCGAATGGAACGGCTATTTCCTCGATGGAGAGCGCATTTGCTTGAATTTCGAACTCCTCGACAAAGCCTGTCAGACTACATAGGGACCGGAATAACCAAGGTCTCCAATGAGAGAAATCAGGCCAATTTTGAATCAGCTCGCAATGCTCTGTTCACCTGGGTTCTGTGGAATAGTGCATGCTGACCTCAAACCTGTCAACATCATGGTTGTGAACCGCAGTGAGTCTCCCGTCAGAGTCAAACTTATAGACTTTGGCATCGCATGTAACACCTCTGCAGTGATTCCTGGTGACTGTGTGGGGACAATTGGTTATTGTGCACCTGAGATTATGCTTGGCACTCCATATGATGAAGCAATTGACATGTGGTCTCTGGGGCTGGTAGCTGTGGAGCTTGCTACAGGGGTGCCTCTCTATCCTGGGGAAGACGATTATGACGTTTTGAAATTCATAATTGAAACTCAGGGTCAGCTACCAGATCATCTTCTAGAGTCTGGCTTGTACACTGACAGCTATTTCATCGAGGATAACCACAACGAACAGCGCTGGACATTTAAGACCCAAGAACAATTTCAATACGAGACAGATTATCGATCCAAGGAAACTCGATATATAAAACTTAAGCGTCTCGATGACCTCGAACAACTGCTGAAGGTTAGGCGAGGACTGGAAAATGGCCAAACATTATTTGTAAGGCTAATCAAAGAAATGTTGGCCTTGGATGCAAATCAGCGCATAACACCCTCAGAGGTTCTGAAGCATCCCTTTTTCGACCCTGGCCTCTCAAGGAGAACCCCCTGCATGGACATGAATAGTACAGGGGGAGAACTCCTTGTGCTCTCTCAGCAGCCTTCAAGGTGGAAAAGTCATGGATCGCAAAAATTCAGCTGCAGTTTCCAAAACTCAGTTGAATTTCCTCAAAAAAGAGACATCAACACCTCAGCCAACCCATCTGCCTCTGAAGATGATCTTCAAATAACGAAAGGGACCATTTTAGGAGATCACCACGTGGTAGAGGCCTTCCTTGGAGAAGGAGGCTTTGGTTTGGTAACCAGATGTCGCGATACAAAAAACAACAAAACGGTTGCTATTAAAGTCAACAAGAGCGACCCTGAAATTCTGCTCCAGGCAAAACTGGAAATTTTCATCCTGGAGCAGCTACGACGCTTGGATCCAGACAGGTGCAACATTGTCGAATGGAACGGCTATTTCCTCGATGGAGAGCGCATTTGCTTGAATTTCGAACTCCTCGACCAAAGCCTGTCAGACTACATAGGGGACCGGAATAACCGAGGTCTCCCAATGAGAGAACTCAGGCCAATTTTGAATTAGCTCACAAATGTTCTGTTCCACCTGGGTTCTGTGGGAATAGTGCATGCTGACCTCAAACCTGTCAACATCATGGTTGTGAACCGCAGTGAGTCTCAAGTCAGAGTCAAACTTATAGACTTTGGCCTCGCATGTCCTGCTTCTGCAGTGATTCCTGGTGACCGTGTGGGGAAAATTGGTTATTGTGCACCTGAGGTTATGCTTGGCATTCCATACAACAAAGCAATCGACATGTGGTCTCTGGGGCTGGTAGCTGTGGAGCTTGCTACAGGGGTGCCTCTCTATCCTGGGGGAGACGATTATGATGTTTTGAAATTCATAATTGAAACCCAGGGTCAGCTACCAGATCATCTTCTAGAGTCTGGCTTGTACACTGACAGCTATTTCATCGAGGATAACTACAACAAACAGCGCTGGACATTTAAGACCCCAGAACAATTTCAATACGAGACAGATTATCGATCCAAGGAAACTCGATATATAAAACTTAAGCGTCTCGATGACCTCGAACAACTGCTGAAAGTTAGGCGAGGACTGGAAAATGGCCAATCATTATTTGTAAGGCTAATCAAAGAAATGTTGGCCTTGGATGCAAATCAGCACATAACACCCTCGGAGGTTCTGAAGCATCCCTTTTTCGACCCTGGCCTCTCAAGGAGAACCCCCTGCACGGACATGAATAGTACAGGAGGAGAACTCCTTGTGCTCTCTCAGCAGCAATCATCGTTTGGGTGGCCAGAATTCTAGGGGAGCTAGAAAATTCTTGTGGAAAAAAAGCCCAAAACAATAACATCAACAAAAACAACCAATGAATGTGGTCTTAAACTTGGGCACAATTTGGCTTGAAATCCATCAACTAATCTCTCAATATTCAAAGCGGAGCAGCAGACAACTTACCATCACATCAGTCCTTCAATCAGACCTACAACAAACGTCTTCCTTCTCTCACCCCAACCGGTCGCAGCAGATGGCCGCCCCGACCTGAGCCTGGTTCTGCCGGAGGTTTCTTCCTGTAAAAAGGGAGTTTTTCCTTCCCACTGTCGCCAAAGTGCTTGCTCATAGGGGGTCATATGATTGCTGGGTTCTCTGTATGTACTATTGTAGGGTCTACCTTACAATAATACATACAGCCTTGAAGTGAGTGGTGATGTGATTTGCTGCTGAATGAATTGGGAACTAATTGGAAATCTGGATATTAATTAAATAAACCTGCTTTGAGCATCAATTAATTGTTGTTTGAAATTCTTTATAAATATATAAATATAGTGCCACTCTTCTACTGTTTAAATTGCAACTGTTTAAAACTGACTAATTTATTCATACACTTGAGCATAAACACACGCACAGTAAATGGCCTGTATTTGTACAGCGCTTTACTTAGTCCCCAAGGACCCCAAAGAGCTTTACACTACATTCAGTCATTCACACATTCACACACTGGTGATGGCAGCTACATTGTAGCCACAGCTGCCCTGGGGCGCACTGACAGAGGCGAGGCTGCCGGACACTGGCGCCACCGGGCCCTCTGACCACCACCAGTAGGCAACGGGTGAAGTGTCTTGCCCCGGGACACAACGACCGAGACTGTCGGAGGCGGGGCTCAATCTGGCAACCTTCCAATTACAGGATGAACTGCGAACTCTTGAGCCACGATTGCCCTATATACACATATACTTTACAGTACTAGTCAGTGCTTACATACTAGTTCTTTTCCCTACTTTTTCATGCTTACTGGTACAAATGCCTGTTACTAGAGTTAAATGCTATCAATGTATTCTCACAGTTATGGAACTGTACAAATGCATACAAAATAACGCTCACGTAAACATAACTGTGCACTAGTTTGCCCTTATTGCTGCAGTTTGTTTCAAATCACTTTGAATAAAGCTCAGCTTCTCTCAAGCTCTCTCTTACACACACACACACACACACACACACACACACACACACACACACACACACACACACACACACACACACATTCTTACAGAAGTTCACACATATACATACAATGCCTTGTCTGGGCGTGGCGTTGTTCTGACGTGTTTTGTGTGAACGGTCTCTCAATAAAAGGCAGCAGGAGGAGGAGGATCTAGAGGTCATTTTCGTGGTGGCCTCCCTTGCGCACATAATCGATTGATCGACTGTCTTGTTTTCTTCATGATGAATAAGTCTCTAGAATTCGCGGGACTTGTGGAAACACAGACCCAACATCTGGATTAGCAGTGCTGGAGGGGGAGAATCTGAGCGGTCCACAACATGGCAGATGTTGTCTGTAAAAGAAATCCACGCATTGCATTTTTTTAAAATATCGAGTTTAATGCCAACGTCTCTCACACAGAGACAACCTACCTTTTGTTTTTTTGTTGTTTTTTTCAGTCCTCAGGGTTTTTGATGATTTTTGGCCTGAACATGGCAGAAGGTAAACCAATCTTCGGGCCATGAGCGAGCTGATCATATACAAGACGCTTCCTAATATTCTCATAAGAAGAGTTGACCTTGTCTCTCTTCATTGTCTTATCGACCTCATTAAACACCCGCTGCAGTGCTCTCCAGTCTGACCACTGAATAAAAAACAAATCCTTAAACCATGATAAACGTTCTTCAAGGGTGAGGGGGTATGGGTTCAACCTCCAGCTTTCAAGGCCCCAGAGTGAAACCTCTGTAACGTTGAAGTTTCACCCGGTGCAATTGTGGCTCTTGTAACCATAAATGGTAAGTTGCTCTTTTGTCACACAGTACATACACAATAGATGTGTTTGCAGGTTTTAGTGCAAATTGTACATTGCTACATTGTTTTGAATTACCCTCGGCCCGCAGTATATGTGGGCACCTGTCAAAGGTCATTTGGATTTACCAGACCGCTTTGAAAACAACATGGAAAACATGAATGTCTTTGTTGAGCCATGACTGGATTTATCCTTATCCTTCCTAAAGGCCGTTATAACCTTGCACTGCCAGTGTTCAGCTGCACCAGCTGTGGCCTAATGTGGTCCCCCTCAGTTAAGGACTTCCAGGGTGGTGGATATTGGCCTGGCACCTTAAATTTCTGCACCCTGTTTTCAATGGATGTCTTTCAGTCTTTCTATGACATTAAGAAGCTGCAGCAGGGATGTCACTTAAGGCCTTTGTCAAAGTGCTGGATGAACGAACAGCCCATTTTGGAAGGGTGAGTTTCTAAATTTGTCAAGTTTAAGGAAATTGTGCAAATCAATGTTTATGATGACTGTCCGTGAATATTCTGTTGTTTGTCCTCTACTTAAAAGACTGGCCGAATATCAGCTGATGCCTTCAGCAAAAGTTTCTTGGAGTGGAGTGCTGTAAAGTTTGAGGTGGACAGGATGTGCAAGGAGCCATGCTTTAGCTGCCCTGCCTGCACTCCAGACATGCTCGCCGTCTCAGTTGATGGAAACTGCAAGCTTTATCGCTTTCAATCAAATGCAAGGTACGTTATGCATTGTGTACATAAATCAAATATGGATTTGTACAAAAATTGTATTTTGATGTTTCTTTTCAAACAACTGTCACTGTGTTCGTTCAGCACTTCAGAGCAGGGGAACTTTGAAGGTGTCTTCATTGAGAAAGATGAGGAAGTTGCTGAGTTTGTGAAATACATCCAGAGACACACAAATGATGTAAGATACACATATATATCAGTGCTGTCAGCGTTAATCTTGTTAAAATGACGTTAACGCCATAACCATATACTCATACGTGTGTGTGTGTGGATACATATTTGGATGGGTAGATATTTATTTTGTTTTTCTCTTGGTGTTGTCGTAATACTATTTACTTGACTTTATCTTAATGTGTACTTCATTTTGAGTAGCTCACACTTGGATGTGCGAGGTATACTGCAGCTTGTAGTCTTGGATACGTTTAAGACATTTTGTTATAAGGTTGAATGAATTCAGCAGTCATGTATTGTGACCTCCTTTCTATAGATCAAATGGGGAGGTGCGTTTCAGGATGGGGCCAGTTCTACAGTTGGAGAAGAGGTGGAGCAAGTAAACAGTTTCCTGTCTAGGGCGGCCATCACAACGAAGTACATGTCTAAAGCAGGTGTGTGTCTGTGTGTGAGATTCCACTCAGTCTCCTGCTCATTCATTCTTATTTGTATACTAACTGAAATGCAGGGCGAACAGACATGCTGAGCCTCCTGGCTTTGGGCTGGAACAAAAGGAAAGTGGAACAACTGGGCCGCACTTTGAGCCAGAGATATCTAAAGGTCATTTTTTCAACACCCATTTTAATGTGTGTGGTAATGGGGGGGAAACACCAGTACTCTAAAAATGTCCATATGAATGACATTTATTAATGTATTCTTAGATCATAAGGATCTTTAGAGAACAAGTGGAGAGCCTGAATGCGAGCAGAAATGAGCTGGGTGTGGATGACGACACACTGCAGCAGTGGGCTGAAGGTGAGTCTCAATATAATGCACTCGTGTATAACAACAGGACCCACCATGGCCTCATTAAAGAACTTAGAGTTAAGATCTTTCTGACAGTGTCAACAAACAATGAAAAATAAGCTTGTAAAAGCAGAATTGATGGCAGAGTTGTTGCGTTTGATCAAATTGGATTGGACCTGGGTTGAAGTGATGTCGTACTAGTTGGTTTTATAAAGCTGAACACCAACATACTTGTTATCTCATGATAATGCAGCACATGAAGGCTCCAGATGTCTTATAATGAATATCATCAAGTCAGTGATTACAGAGTCCACTGTAGTTTGGTGACTGTTACTCATCCTGTGTTCTGATTAATATTCCTCTCACTTAGAAACGGATCAAACTGATGGCAGCCTTGGAGCGTTGCAGGCACGAGTAGAGCAGCTTGTCGTCATCATCAGAGTGCGAACACAAAGTCTTTACAGACAAAATGGTGTCACAGTTTCTTTGAAACGGACCGTTTGATGCTCAGTTTGTACAGCTTGTACAGCTACTTTGTAAACAGAATAAAATCAGATCCAGGTTTGTTTAAGCTGGATGTGATTTGTTCTAGCAAACGAATTGATGAGTGTAGATTAAAATGTAAATATATGCATTATGTGAAGGTGTTCCTTTTTATGATTATTTACAGATAGCAACAAGAGGCGACACAGAATTCGCAAGGTCATCTTAGATGAGAAGAAACGCTTGGCGGCTGCTGTTGACGACTACAACAAGGAAACAAGCAACAAAGCAAATCGTATCCAGTGATGCCCTCATGCAGACCGATATTTGGCCCTGGCAGAGCACAAGTGAACGTAAGCTCTTGATTTCTAAATATCCTTTTTAAACAAACTCCCAGTATCTGAGCAGCAGTTGAATGTTTTGTTCTTGAATCATAATATGCTACTATGTTTTCCCATCTGATGTTGTTAAACTGCAGCTGCTGCTGACCTCCGGACAAAGAGAAAGGTCTTTGAGAAGGTGATGGCTGTGAGGCACCTGAGAGAGGAGGAGATGATCCTTTGCAGGGAGATGCAGCATCACTGGACAGTGTTGCAAATGCGATCTGTGGTGTTGGGGACAATCTCCTCAGACTGTAAGCACATCTTTTATTTATTTATACATTTGGTGATGAATTGATTGAAAATAATAGCAGATGCTAAAGTCTTACTGGATCTTTTACCTATATTTGGGTTGCTAGCTAACACTGCCTTCTCCCTTAAAAAAAAGCTTAATTACATGATCCTAATTCCTGAGGTTCAGGGTTTACGTGAAACCACCAATGTTCAAACACCTGAACTTTCCACACAGAGCACTATGGACTCTGACCAAACAGGTAGACATTACCCTGAGAGAAATCGCAGAGCACCTCAGAGACTGAACTTATAGGTTTCCAGTTCATTTTGTAAGGAAAGCAGTTAAAATGTTTAAGAGGAAACAACCTACCTCTATGTTGTAAATCACTGAATAGGTGTCATATTTCAGTTTAAGTACAATTATTGGGTTACGGCATTTACCTGAAAATATCTCGATTGTTTGATACTTATGTTCATCAAAGCTGGATGGGAGGAACTGTGATGTATTTAGTAAAATCAGTTTATATTTTGTGGTAAAGTAGAGAACACCAAGCGTGGTGTATGTGCGCATTGATATGCCTGTGCCGTTCCACAACATGGTTAATAAAGTAAGTTACTAACAACCAAAAATGTGTTGTTACTTTACCAGTTGAGTTATAAGAGAGAACATAACAAACTGGTTGAGATCCTGGATTAAAGAGGGAATGGGAAGGGAAGAGGAGTACAGAGGACTGATTGGTCGGTTCGTGAGGTGGTGTGAGGAGAATCACCTGAAACTGAATGTGGCCAAAACAAAGGTGCTGGTGGTGGACTAATTGTAATTTAAAATGTGAAAATTTTAGCTGTCCTCCATCATTCTCCCTGAGGAGTCGAGTTACGGTGACTTTGTATCTTCTACAAGAGACGCACAAGAGCAAGTTTAAAAAAAAAACTGTAGAGGAAAATATGGCAAAGTCCCAAGACTTACAAAAGGAAGCTTATGCTAGACGAGTCCAGAAGTACAGAAACCTTGTGTACAGCGTTGGAGATGAAGTTCTTCTCTTGAACACGAAACATGGAAGGAAGGGAGGAAGACTTGATCCAGATTTTTCAGGACCCTACACCATTCAAGACATCGCTGGCAAATGTGTGAGATTAAAAAACACAGAAGGAGCAACTTTAAGAAATCACTACAGCATTGACCATATCAAGCCATACAGAAGAAGCCACCATGTAAATATCAGTGACAAGTAAAAATACCCAACTCGCAGTCAGACAGGGAAAAGCAGCACAGACCTGAAGATGCCTCCCTGCCATCCTACTGCTAACCCTCAGTGCCAGCAAAGTCCAGAGGATTCATTCTGCACCCAAAACGGCTGACACAAGGAGTTTAATTGTGTTCCAGGACCAGAAACGCGTGAACAAGAACTTCCCTCCCGGAAACAAAGCTTAGAAAATGAAGGTGACATAGTGAACAACTCTTTTTGACCAGTTGGTCATTTGTTGCCAGTTTGGCGTTGCAACTTAATTGACTGTTGCATGACTTTGTTTGCATTTTGAAGTCTTCAACTCATATTGGATGTAAAGAAACATGCACTGAGCTTGTGGAAGTCTGGAAATGGATCTGCCTGTCAGTAATTTTCTCTTTTGCCCACCCGCTGTACCTTTCCTATTTCTCTGCGTGTTGCATGCATGCCTATTGTATTGACTTTTTTCCTGTTGTGGCCCGTTGGCCTTTACCAAGCTTATCCACTACAAATCTCATGCATGCCTGAGCTAACTTATCATATTTTTCTTTTAGTAAAGAGGCTATGGAGTGCAAAGGATACTGGGCGTTTGGAGGCAGCTGTTGGACCATACAAGTTATTGGATTCCTCTTTTCGAACACTGCAGGGGTCACGGTGGTTTCTGATGAGGTAAGAGAACTTATCATTGTTGATTCTGATTTCGAGGTTCTGCTCCTTCTGAAGCATTTGCAGTGCAGAGACCATTAATAGTTTAAAATGTGCGGGTAGGTCGGGGGGTTTATATTGCAAAACTCTGATAAGGTTTCACCCATTCACTTCAACAGGAAAAAATGTTATCAACCACAACACAGATGTTGTGACATCTGTGACATCATAATACCCAGTTTCAGTATATGCAGAAAGAACCTTTATCAGCAATTATATTCTATGTTGTGAAGCAGTTTCTTGCACAAAGTGTTATTTTTAAATAAGTTTTCAGTGGCACAAACAATTGTAATTTTTAATTTAACTTTTTCTTTAGATTGTCAACATTTCTGCACAGAAAATACTGCTCATAGACCCCACGGGAATGAAGGCATTTATGACAGGAAAATTCTGCACAACTGGAGGTATGTATGATACTGAGGTGTTATTCTTAGATTTAAAAAAAAAATCTTGTTTCATTACAAACATTTTTGTTCAACTAGGAATTTTCTGAGGATGAGAGGGCATGAAGACACCATGGAGTGGCAGTTACAGACTATGCAACACAACAAGCAACAGGATTCCAGCAGTTGTGGAGTTTTACTGTTAAAGGTAACCCGTATTCAAATGATTCAGTTTCTTGTTAGCTAGAATTAAGACTTTAAGTGAATTTAAGTGAAGTGAAAGTTATTTCGGTCAACAACAACAAAGATGATCATTTTACATAGAAATACTTAATCATACAGTAACTGAAAAGGAAAAGGCTGAAGCCTTGTGGCTTATAATTATCCTATCCTTTACCTAATTAAGACTTTACATTCTAATTATGATCAATCTCACAGTTTGCAGAACACTACCTTGATTTTGGAGAGGTCAGTGAGGTGTCAACCACTACAGAGCCAGTTGTGCTGGAGCGAATGCAGATAGCTTGCACCCTACTTGAAAATCGAGGTAAGTCCAGTAAAGTCCTTATCACGTTAGTGCGTACTTCCAATTTAAATAGTGCTTTTCAAACAGCACAGTACAAATGGTGCTCTTCAAACACTTTCAGATAAGACCCTTCTCAAAGTCTAATTTAGACTAATTTTCCAGGAAGTATATTTGGAAAAAATTTACTATTATTTTTTAATTATTCAATAAATAATGTTTGATTAAAACCTAACTATGATTGTGTTTCAGGGAACGCTGAGGACTACTGCATTGTTTGCTCCATGTTAGATGCTAACGCTGACCGCAGCATGATTGAAATGGTAAAACAAAACAAAACAAAACAAAACAAAAGAAACACATAAGTCTTAGTATCATTACTTGCCAATCATAATTAAAATGTTGAGTAATAGTATTCACCAAACAGAATATGAGCCATTTATTTTTCCTTTCCAGGTGCAGTATGAATCTTGCCAAAGATGGGCACATTTTGCATGTGCAAAATATAAAGAGAGCAACCAAGAATATAAATGCCAAAAATGTACGGGAAACACATAACTTCAAATAAAAATAGCTGTCTTTTCCCCTCCATGTGTGTTTGTATTCTTTGTCAACATTTGGATTCCTGAGATCAAATATATTTTCCTTTGTGTTTGTTTTCTTCCCATTTGTGGCTTTAATGTAGTGTTACATCCTGTTTGTTTGCTTCCATCTGTGTACATGTCCAGATTCACTGTTATGTTTCTATTCTTACATTGCTGTGTGATCACTGTTCCCTCTGCTGACTGATGTGACCTTTGTATCTCACACTGATACTTGTCATATTTGTATCTGCGCCTAAAAGATAAAAAGTTTTCCATGCTAAAACACAGCTCCACCTCCTGCAGTTCTCCTCTGAACCACTAGATGTCTCTGTTATCTAAATGAAGACGTGCAGCACAGCAACCACAGCAGCGCTCAGATCACACGTGTCCTGTTATTATGTATAAAAGCATGAAACAGGTGAGACAGGTGGGATCAATATTAATGTTGTGGAAATATATGAAAAAGCAACAGAAGAGTGAAAACATTTCGTGTTTCTAGAAAGATCTTTCAGCTCACAGCTGCTCACAGACTGTATTTACAAGTGACAAACTGCAACTCTACAGTACATCTACAGTATATATCAATATATTCTGTATTCAAATCTATTGAGTGATGTTTGAAAGTCTTTCCAGGTGAGTTTGATCCAGGAGGGTCTGAAGCCAGAGTCAGACAGAGACTGTGCAGAGACTGTAGAAGGACAGAGCAGCAGCAGAGCAGTCCAGATACACTGATGATCCTCTGTCAGATCCAGAGGGACACACAGGGATGATGCTGGACTCTACATTGTGTCTGACAGTGGAGCTGTTCTCAGAGCAGTTCACTCTGCAGCACTGACAGTCATCTGCACTTCTTCTCATTCCTCTGTCAGTCACTGCTGGATGAAGCTCTCCTCTCCACCTCCCAGTAACATGGCCCAGTCAGAGCGTCTCTACACACAAGCTGCTGCTGCTTCAACCTCTCTGGATCATCAGGACACAGCTCCTCCTCTCTCAGCACACACACCGTCCTGTTTACCATCACCAGCTCCACCTGCAGAGAGAAGAAGGAAGAGCAGAGGAGATAAACGAGTGTTTCCAGAGACTCTTCATCAGCTGTCAGTCAGTGATGCAGCACATCCAGTATAAAGAGCAGCAGGGACTTCAGTGCTGGGACTGTACTAGGACTCATTGTTGCTTCACTTTTTCTAATCTTTGGATTTTTATTGAAGTTGATGAAAATGTTTTTCCCTCCTAGTTTGAGTTTGGACTTTCATTCATTAGAAGAACCTTGGTGTGTCCACTCTGAGCTCTGTAGGAACCCCAACAACAAGCCCAACAATCCAGATGGACGGTTCCAGCTGTTAACTGGAGGAATTCCATCCAAACATCTGCTCTCACTAAATTCTTCCTCACCTACAGACTGTGTTCTTCACTGCTTTAAACTTGGAAATGAATGCAGTCATTGGTCTGTGTGCTGCTCTGTTCAGAGAACTGATTGGCTGTTGACAGCGTTTGATCAGA